TATTGGGTGACAGCGGTATGGTTAATGACCAAGGAGATTATTGCTCGTTTGAAAACTGGAGAATGTTGATGACTTCCGTCCCTGACGTCGTCTATCGGATGTATCGGGATGCAAAAACCCCTCCCGAAACGGACCGTTATTTTATCGCTGACATCGTTTTACCTTTATTCGATAAAACGTCTGCTTTCCGAATGGATACATCTCCCGTTGCAGTAGGTGGTTCCTCTATTGCCTTGTGTACAGACCACGTGTGTGTCACCCTGATCCTCCCTGGTTGATTCTCTTTCTTCAATTTCCATCGTCCAGACGGCTTCAAGGAGGAGATGAAAAAATGAAGGGGACGGAAGAAGAGGAAGTGGACTAGACGATGAGGGGGCTGAGGTCGTAGTCCTGAACAGTTCGCTGATGGATTCATGGAATTCTTCCTCTGTACTCTCTATGCTTTCGATCGGTTTGTCAATGACAACAATTTGTTTAAAATTGGTTTCGTTGTCACACCTCAATCAAAAAGCAATCATCAGCTCCACTTACATAACACAAGATGCACTCCTTAAAATAAAAAATTAATTCTATTTGAATATTTCCATAAATGAGTTAATAGTTCATGCTATTGTAATGTCATTAAAATGGCAATATTTTGAAAGGTCCTAACCGGTGATGGTGTCCCCCACTTAGAAATTTGTCCGTGGAAAAGCTGCAGGAGGGGTTAAAGGATAGGAGGGTCGCAGACACAGAGTCACCAGCCGCAACGGGCACGCGACCGACACGCGCCCTTCTTCCATCTCTTTCCTTCCTATCTCCCCTTTTTTTCCTGCGCTTCTTTTTCCATCGCAGCTTCCCTTTGCGAGCACATGCATTCATCTCCTACACGTGATCATCTTGAGTCTACGCCTTCGTATAGGACGGAAAGCCTGCTGGTATACCGTGTGATTTATAAGATATCAGAACCTGGAAATTAGTCGTGGAAATTGTTTACTACCGTTGTAAAATAAATAACTATGAATTTAATAATAAAATGACAAGGTGTCCCATGTCTTATGAATGAAAGTACTCGAATGCACTGTTCTGATACATTGAATTGTTGAAGTTCATTCATGAATCTGGCTGGTTCTGATGTCGTAAAAAAATGTGTATACCTCTTCAAGTGAACTTTCGTGTCTGCACGAACACGTGGATGCCCATTCAGATTTCTAGTGGCCCATTGAAGAATCTAGGCACAAGTAGTCATCGACTACATTATCTCAACCCTGTTAAGTCATTTCCGCAGTAATTAATGTCGTACCGTGGGAAGCATTGAAATCTCCTCCTCCAACGTTTGCAACCTGAAGAAGAAATGAATTAATGAAGCAAGTATATGTCGAGGAAGTGCCCTACGTTTGGCATTGTTCGTGATCGTTATTGCATACAGATTTCGAGAGGAATGATTAAGGTCGATAAAGACGAAAATGCGATCTGTTGTAACGAGGGAAATCGGACATCTCTAAGTATAGCACGTATTTGCATGCGGATCAGGGACGAATCAGACTGGGTTGCCAAGCTGCTACAAAGTGGCAGCAAACTTCACAAGACCCATATTATCAAATTTTTTACTTCACTTTCAAATGATATCAGTGGGTTGCGATGTAACATTCTACTGGATAAATAATGATCATTTTAAATCATGTACTTTGATAATGATTGCGAACTTGGCAACGCCCTGAAAGAAGCGCCAATGTTGCAAAACGAGATTCCTTCATACAGAAACATCGGTGTCAACATTTTTTCCTGTCGCAATGAAATTTAATAATTTGTAATCCTTTACAATAGCGTGATATTTCAAATCAGACGGATTGTTTGATGTTTTCAGAGAATCACGTCAGATTTGCCAACAAGGAAAATAAGAGCTGCGCCAAGATCGTTTAACGACACCTTTATGTAATCCACCTCGAGTGGCGTTAGTGACAGAAATGATTCTTATCCTGTTTGTAAACATTCAAACAATGTGTTAAAAAAGAGAGAGGGGGGGGGCGCGATATATTTAAAAACGACAGATGAAAATTTATTTCATCGGGATAAATTTGAAGTGTAAAATAAATAATGTTGCAGGTGAACGGTGATAGACGGACGGCCATCAAAGGGTGGCATCGGTGATCCGTGTGACGCAGAACGGCTTGAACGTATACCGAGGATACTCTTGCCTTAGCTTGAATCCTTCAAATCGAAACTATGAAGGTTTTGCAAACTGCTGGCCAATCACCAACCATTAAAGCGCATATAATTAAGAGGATGCGATGTTTTGGCATCGTCGGCCAGCGGTTATAGATCGCCGGCTTCATTTAATCGTCGTCGTTTCAATTATTTTTCTGGCTACCTGTCGTCAGAAGAGCGTGGATCCGTAGATCCGGTCGATGCCAATGATCGAAAAATAGATCCGAGCGCAACCTGTTCGAAATAGCCGGCTTGAAACCTGTAACATACGTTATCTGATCTGTGTGCGTTGCTAATGTCATCCTGTTCGAACATATAGATCGTTATTCGAATACCTAAGTCGTGGATCGGTATTCAAATGCAAAAGGTGACGCCAGTCAAATGACTCGTGACGAATGGGTTGACCATTCTATCAATAGGTAAAAAAGGAACTTTGACCGATAAGCAAGCTACCGTAACAAAAGCTCGGAAAGGTAATAATTCAGCGACGATCGAACAAGGTACCGTATGTCCCGGAGGTGGTGTACTCCCCCTGTAAGATTCGCGGGGGCACACGGAGATCATGCTCGAAGGTGTCTAAGCTAAAGGGGAAGGAAATCTAATTATAGAAGTCGTTGTACCGCGTGCTGAAAGTGGTGGAGGGTGTGAGTACGGGTGCACGAATGAGAATCGGTTGCATTGGGCGGTCATAAAATGCAGGCTGCATCCGCTCGGCGCAGATGTACTTGGAACGGAGCACCAGTACCACGACGAGACCAAAAGGATCTCTCGTTTCGGGGCTTCTGTGGCCTACCAGATATATCGAGGACAATGAACTTGGAAGTGTATACGATAGAAACAGATTCCACGGATTCCTCTACGACGGCAGATCGATCGCAAAAGTAGCCGCGGAGTGATTCGTTGCTCTAAACCCAACGCGATCGTGACCGTTTCCAGACCATCCGATATGTACCATTTAAATTTCAAATTCTCGAAACAGTTTAAAAGAATTTAGACATGTTTATTACCCTGGTATCGTTGAGCGTGTGGAAACAAATGCAATTTCGTGAAATTAACCATCCCCTATCAGAGAGGCTACACAGAGAAATAAGTACATTCTTGAACTGAAGGGAATGGGTATCTCGAATAAGTAGAATATAATGTCGAACTGGAAATGGATAGGTACCTGGTTATTAACAGAAGGGTTAATAAGGGCATCAACTCGGTTTCCTAGGCATATCGTACAGGTTCATACGTTACACCGTTCATTCATACAGGAGCCATGTGGTTAACTGGGTAATCCATCCTCCGGTACTTCCTGTCCTTTACAATGATAAAGAAGTGATTAAACTTTACTAGAGATTCGTGTCGTTAACATTACAAATTACAGAATTGATTAACTTACACGTTTTCCAATCTTTATATATTTAAATGAAACATAGTAAAATTGTATTCTTATTGCAATATTTTACGCATGTTAAGCGTCACTTAAGAATAATGATTGGTCACCCGGCTGGTGCACCAGCTGTGACATTTCGCGCACGATCGACTCGTGCCGTTTGGACCCTGATTATTATTGTTTCCTCTTCTTTTCTTTTTCTTTCTCTGAAAGTAACCGCGCGTGTGCCCATGGCGTGGCCATGTAAGGGCTAGGCGGGGGTGCTGGTTGCTAATTTTAGTACGTCTCCAGGGTTCCTGGGGTCGTCGGCGAATCGGCAGCTGGTGATTCAAGACGTAGCTTTGCACGTGGGTAACGTGTCTCACCGTTCACGCGCAACGGACCATCCCCCTTCTTGTTTCTCTTCTCGAAGGAGGTCGACGTGTCCACTCGGTTCTCTCCAGATGTGTCTTTAGGTCTAAACGTTACCCGATATCACACCCGTTACCAAATCATTTCCACTTCGAGGTCTGAACCGTAACGAAACGAATAGGCTCTCCCAAGTCCAAATGTTGGGGGTCTCCTCCTCTTTATATCCTTAGTCAAAATAGACCTATATCGCACTCCAATGTCACTCGTCCCTGAAATCAACGTAAAAGTGTTAAATATTTGAATTCACCACTTTGATCCTTCGGATGCCAGAGTCTCGTCAGAAATGCTTATCTGGAAAATCAAAGGATGGGTGGAGAGAAGAGGAACGGAAAAGGAAGAGGAAGGAACGCGTGTGTCTCTCTGAGAAGGAACTAAAGGGGAAAGAAGGATAGGTAAACGAGATCTGGTGGCGGCTGGTGCAGCGGATGTTTGAAGCTGCTGAAAGTAAGGCGGTGGTTCCTTTCGCGTCTCTTTCTCCGTCTTTCCTGCTGCGTTTCCTTCATCAGTTAGCCGCGATCGCGGCAAAACACGGTCCGCGTAGGAAGCACCTCGGCGGATGTGATGTTTAGGACAAAGTCCGGACAAAAAATCTTCATCGTATAAATAGGCAACGGTGGTTGCCTCTACCGCCTATTGCCGGTTAACTTTTGACCCACATATTTTCCATTGATTGTTTGTGGAAGCTCGTACTCCTTTTCGGTACCGATGCAGTTCCAAATGTATTCCTTATTTCAGAAGAATATCAACAATTGCAAGAATCGTTGTAATGTATCCCTTGTCCTGAAATTTGGCTACTAACGGAGCTTTTAAATGCCTTGGTAACATGATCACCGTAAAGAACTGCACTTGTTGACCTGTTTTCACTTGGGTTTCAACCTGCTGGGTCAAAGGAAACTATAGAAAACACTTCTCTCCACAAAGCATAAGATTACACCCCTTAGAATACGGGAAATTCAACTAATTGTATAAATAGTCATTCTTGCTGTCATCAGCATACGTTAAGATATTACACAAAAGTCAATTGTTTAAAATCAATCAAAGATATATATATATATTGATTTATCAAATATAACATAAGTATTAACAAAGTATACGGTTCAGTTTAGTGAAAGCAAAAGCGTAAACGATGCGTGGATCTAGTCAGATATGCTCGACACGTGGTTGTCGATATCCCAGGCTCCTGCCGAGAAACACAGACCTCCCAGTGTCATTCGACCACCATGTGCACGAGAGCTCGGCGAAGTCTTTGTTAGGTTTTGAAATTGTCTTTTATTTGTCGTCGGTATCACCGAAACCGAATGACGTTGAAAAAAAAAAAAAGAAGAAAAACAAAATGTAACCGTCCGAAAGACCAACGCACCGTTTACACCTCCTCGATGTACTCGATGGAAATTTAAATAGATTCCTTAGGAGCGACAAGTGTGTGGTATATACTCCGCAGGAGAGAACAGTTAAAATTACCTATTAGATTTTGGAAAAAAATGTTAACCCTTTGCCTTATTGTTGCGATACACGTGTAGCACAGAATTTACAACTGGAATTGAATTTTAAGTTTAGCAATGTGACGAATACGTGACCGCAGTCATCAAGGTGTTGCGCAAAGGGTTAATAAAGTAACGAGCAATATGCAAGGGTTGCTGAAAACAACCGGTGCACTAGGTATGTTTTCCTTCAATGCTGCTAAGAGCCGCTATCACCTGCTCCTATTGCTTGACCAATTGAAGTAAACGCACGTATGGTGTTCAGCCAGTACACCAGGCGTGAGCCGAATCCGACACCCTTACTTTTACGACATTTTAGCGACGCATATGCTTCCTAAGAGTCTCGTTACTGTTTACAACGATTTGCATGTTTAAACGTAAATCCAATTGGCATCGGCACAGCGCGTCTAGTTTGCGAATGAATGATAACGTATCAGAAGGTAAATGTCTTAAACATCATCGTTTTCATATCCAAAATATCGTAGAGCCATTTGGGTCTGAAGATAATGTTCAGATCGTGTAAAAATTGATGTCCCTCGAAACAGTACGTGACCTATGAATATACATAAGATGTGTTAGTAAAATTGTTTGAATGTTAATATAATGAAAATGACTAACATCGACAGGAAAATGAGATGGATAAATTTTGCTTGTTGCAACATAAAAGAACACGGAAACTGTGACTTGAGGTTCAGGATACGCTGGTGTAGGCACGCTCCAAAGAACTTGGTACGTATAAAATTCTGTACTATATTTACGTGTAAGACGCATAAAAGACACATAAAACATCCAGTCTTTCAATGCCTATAGAAACACTATATAAAAATATGTATATATAAATATTGACTATAAACAAAAACTCAATACAATTCATACCGGTAATGAATTCCATGACTTCATTTCTGCAATTACACTCTTTTCACCGTTTCGCGGGTTAAAACTCCCACACGTGGGCCACTCATTTCCAAAGTAGCCCATTTCCCGTGTATTACCATCAGATGGAGCTTCCTATATTGAATTTTTTTATATGTAAATATTAAGATTTTGTATTTAAATGATAGTAAATGATAGAATTTTGCTTACAGACCATGTTATCAATAATCTTCAATGCACTGAAAACTGATTGAGTGACGAATCTTCTAACGAACTCTGTTGAACTACGATAATGCTGGTAGGGATGATCAGGGCGTTCAGGGCGAATATTAAATACAGAGCGGCTACTAGCTAACATTGTCGGAAAACGTGAATAATTTCAGAAATAACGAATAATTTTGAGCTTTCGAATATTTATTTTGCCGAACTTACATATGTACGTTATTGCGCTCATGATAAAAAAAAGAGACGACAGAATCGTCGACATCATGCCTCCGCTCGTGCGTATTTTTCTAAATTTCTATGACGATTAGTTTGTGACGTTTACAAACTATTCGACTATGGATTAGCATCTATCGAAGGGGTGTTCAAATGATGCCAATCCGTAGCAGAACACTTTGTATACTTACATACATATGTCGTATACAAGGATACACGGATAAAACGCACGTACAGTTAAATTATACGAAGACTTTAGTTTAGACAAACAACTGCCTATAATACCATATATGTTATATTAAAACTCATGTCAAGTTAACAATCGTTTTTCGAGTTGCTACGATGATCGTGTTGAGATCGAGCTGCTTTCGTAGACGTTTCTAGGCCGGTAACAGCCCCCAAAACTTGGAATAAACTTTCCATTAGTCTACTAAATATTTCTGACATTTCGTCAGATTTTCGTGTAACCACAAAAATATCTATAACAGAGAATCAGGATTAATTTCATTTGTCTTTATCTTAATTATTCATTTTATCCATTTGAAAAATATTAGAGTATAATTGATGTTAATATATTACCAGATCTATCTTGTCCTAAGTATTTGCAGTACATATTAACAGCAGTCGTTACATCATCGTCATCGTGGAACGGATCTCCTGGCCACTGTGCTCTGTGCAGTCTTACAGCTTCAAGTGCAGGACACCATCGTGCGTTTCTAAGTAGCTCCGCGACTCTGGCAACTTCTTCGACAGCACCAGTGCCGGGCAAGGGACTAGGACTGGGTGTTGGAGTTGGTGTGCCTCTCTCGCTTTCTGTGCTTTCTTCCAGCGCTCTACTTAGAGCAATCTTCATATTCGCAATTTCTATTGATATATCTTGAAGCGGAATTTGTACGTTTTTTGCAGCATTCATAAGAGTACCTAGCATTTTATTTGAAGCCTCTATTAAAAGTAATAATTGGAGATGAAGTTTATAAAGCGCTTTCCCTAAATCTAAGAGCATCTCTTCAAGACCTGCCTCTGTGGTATGACCACCGCCTAATGCTTGAAGCTTTGCCGCTGCTTTTGCTGCTTCCAAGCACTGTAAACAATCGTGTATTAATAACAGATTATTATGCAACATAGACTTTTCAATTTGCTTTTGATCTTGGGAACACCTATTGAGAGCCGGAAGAAGCGGAAGAGCAAGATCTATTAATTACTTACTTCAGTAGCATGATCCTTCTTGTCGAGGAAAGTTTCAAGATGCTCTTGGATTTCTAACATCCCAAAACGTAATGATTCGTTTAATCGCTGATTTGCAAAAATAGCAATGGAAAACCAAATTAAAGGTGGCTCAGCTTTGGAACTAAGTAATTCGGCGTGACTAGATAAATGAGAACCTAATTGAGTGGCAGCAGGACTGCCATTACACAATAAGGCACTGGCTTCTCGTGTAATAGTGACGGATTTACTGCTTACGTCCTGATAGTAATAATAAAATAGTATTACAATCAATTCTAATAAAAAAAATTACACACATCACATGCTCACCCTTAGAATTCTGCTTAACAAGTGGAAAAAATCTAAGGTGTTATACAAAGATTGTGTGATCAGATTTTGAATTTGTTGCCGCCAAATTTCTTCTGCATCATCTCGTACAACCTGTCTGAATGGCATTAATGCCGATAGGTTTGGCGATGCGTTACAAGGCGTTACGTCACCTAAATCTCCCGCGCTCGAGCCACTGTAAATAAATTACAAATATAAATCAATTAAACATGGCTTTTATACGTTTCAATGAGAAACTTACGATGTGTCAGACCTTGTCGAAGAATCGTGGCGCGTACGGCTAGGTATGAGGGAAAGAGAGGATGGTGGGAACATTCCAGGAATGTTGTTCGCTTCTTGTCCCGCTCCAGATCCACCGGGTACTTCGTCCAAAGGTGATTCTGAACCAGCTTCGTCATCAGATGATTCTTCCGCAACACCGCGCTATAATATTAATACATTACGGATCCAATTGTAAAGATTTCAGTCTTTACAATTAAATAGTAACTGTTACTTAATTACCCGACTAGTGTGTTTGCTAGATGATTGAGTTTTTTCACTTAAACTTTCCTCAAATTGCCTCAGACTTGGTTCTCTTTCTTCTCCTTCGCTAAGAGGACGTCGTCTTACTCCCCAGTTGAAATTGTCAGTACTCTCACCCTGTCGAGGAATTAATGACATTTTTTTTTTTTTAATTGTTGAGTAGTGTTGGATTATAAATATTTAGTAAAGATACTTACTTCAACGCTTTCGCTCTCATACTCCAAGAAATCAAAGTCTTTAAATACACCAAACTGTTCGTCATCTCTTCTAGAACCTCCACTCAAATCGTTATTTGCACCTGACACTTCTTCCGTCGAAGAAGCCATGGATGATTGTCTTTCCATTAAATCTGAACTCTGACTGAATATCACCTGTATCACAAATATTTCTCTTAAGTCAACTAGAATAAAAAGCGACAAAACAGCAACAGGATCTTTATCTGACACGACGCTTCAGTTTCTTTGTTTGCTATATAACAATGCTGTGAATTTTTACTATTATTGTGCATTTATGTGATTAATACCGATTTCCGTTACGTATATCTGATTTTAATTTACATAGCAGCATTACTGCAATAATGCACGTGTACATCATATTTTGATATGCCACTTTCCATACAATTAACATGCTACACAAAAATCTACTGCGCCTCAATAATCCTACGAAAAATGATAACGAACTTGTTTTGTTCCGAAAATTTTGTGCAAGTTAAATCATTTAAAGCATATTAAAGCGTGAATATATCTGTACTGGCAGGACATCACATATGAGTATAAACAGATGTTTTTTTTATTACTCTCGTGATAATAAGTGCAGACTGCATTTAAAGAAGCCTGTTACCTTGCTATATAATGTCATTGAACTAATGTGTTCATCCTAAAAAGGGGTACATAACCAGAGTCAGTTATAATAACAATGTTTTTCTACAGGAAAGCTAATGGACATAAATGTATAAACCAACATAAGTTTCTGAAAAAGATCTTAAGGTAAAGGAACTTACAGATGGGCTCTTTGGTAGTCCAACGCGTTGTCCGCATGTTGTTAGAAGATTTACTAAGCATTCTCTAACACGACCCTAAACAGTAGATGTTGTTAGATATCACTTGTACATATTTTATATTATGTAACAATTTTTATTTTACCTGTGACATCCATGGCCTTTTCCAACCTGAAACAGCATTGCTGTCGGCTGGTGAAAGAGACAGTGAACACCGAGGAGAAGCAAGTGACTTTTCTTCAACGCCTTGTCGTATTAACCATCGTCTACCAATTACTGGTGTCTGAGATAAGTCAAACGTGAAATCCATAGTCCTTCCTATTTATAAGTATAACATATCAATTAAATTTTATAGTAAACATTTGTAGATAAAAACGTTCACCAATATTTTACCAACTGATACATTTACTTTTTAAAAAAATACATATTTATTTACCTGTTTTACAAATATATATTTAAAAGTTTTAAGAAGGCAGTGCAAACGGAACATTAAATAATCAAAACTTAGAAAAAAAATAAATAATTGGTAAAATTTCGGGTGTTTGCAAGCGAACAAATTTTAATTAAAAAAATAATAACTATATATTTCTTGAACAATTTACAATTTATTGTTATTATTATTTTTATCGCAACCTGAACATCATCAGATAAGCAATCCATGCAGTGAGCGTGTTCCGCATTGTAAGAGGAAAAACAGAACTTAATAATTTTTAACGTCCACATTCATGCAATGTATATGATAAGGAATATTGTTTTACCGGGCAATTCTTTTTTGGTAAAGATCTCGGTATCGGTGAAGCTTGGATGCGGAGATGCTATTGAAGATTCCCAGGATGAACCGTGCACAGAAGTAGGTGGTGCTACTAATGTTGACGATCTCGTGACTACGAGCTTTAAAATTTTAAGGGCTTCCTTCCAATGAGGACCCTAACATTACATCATTACATATCAACTAGTTATGAAAAATGTATACAAAAGATACATAATTAACTATCATTTGTAATCAATTTTTAATCATACCTCAACGTATTTTGAAATCACTCTGAGAAGTTCTGTGTTGATGGGTTGCGCAGCTTGTGAAGCTAGATCAACATAATGTAACATGCAGTGTATAATACTGAGCACAGGTAACGCGACACTTCCTGGACCTTTTTCAAGTACTTCCACAAGGAATGCAAGCATATTGAAACTGAGATGAGCATACGTGTCATATAAATATTTAACAACACATTTTGTCCACTGAAAACTTTCTTTACTGAAAGTACGTCGACTATACAATGTCATGACAGTACCTAAATTCTCCAGTTTCTTTCCCTTCTCAGCACTTACCTATCAATGAAAACATTATAAATTTACAGTTTTTAGAGTATAAGATATTGATTGAACGTATAGTAATTACTTGTGCAATATTTTCAGCGCTTCTGATGCACAATTCATTAGCATCCTCATAGTTTAGAAGCATGTAAGGAAGTAGTGACACAACGTTCATTGGAAATGCGAGACTTTGAGTAGGGTCAACTACTGGTAAATCCAATAATGGGGTGAACTGAGATAACAAGGTTACAACTTGCTCGTACGTGTTTGGGCTGGTACAACCTTTCAATAATAGCGCATGCACACCAGGGAACGAATTCCATCTCAACTGTTGCTGTAATTTCTCAACTTTATCTCTGGCATCTGGTCGATCGAGTGGCAGTCTGTGCAGTACCCGACTGAGCAATCTCAATGCCAACAAAAATTCGTGTTCGTAATCTGATTCAAGCAATGACACCGATAACCAAAACAGTTGTGCTAAAATAGTCATTTTATCGTCTTGTGTCGCTGAGTCACCCAGTAATTTCAAAGACTGAGCTGATCTCGACCGGGATAGATTAGAATTTGGATATTTATTGCATCTGGTATCCAATTCTGTACAAATATATTATATGTTATAATTCATTTGTAAAAAATCATGTAGCTATTTACAAACCTTTTATTTCACTTGCTGTAGAATTACCAGCACTCGACTTTTTCATGCAATAACTAACTGAATAACTGGTACTTCTTGTATGACCAGCTTGACTTAGGTGAGAAAACATGTGCGGACCAGTTGGATATCCGTTTCCTCCTCCTGGACTTCGTTTACCACCAATCAAACAACCCGAAGCTGGATCTTTATTATTTAAATTTGGAGTAGATTTAAATATTTCTTTCATAAAATCTAAAGGTCGGAAGTCAGATTCTAAGGAATCGACGGCTGCTTCAAGCGTCAGTAATAATTCTGTCACATAGCCCTATAAAGATATTTACAAGAACAAATTAGAATCGCCAAAAAAAAAGTAGTTACATTAATGAAGTAAAATAAATGCATTATGTACCTGCATGTCTTCCCCTTGTTCAGCGACAGTCTCTACCAATCTAGACAAAATGTCAGATAACATTCGAGATGTAATTGGAACTCGTAATGCTCTGAATACTTGAAGAGATCTCCCTGCATAATGCCTGGACGAACAAGATAAGCCTAATTGTAACGCAGTTTGTGCCCATCGTTGACTAACCAATGCATGGGGTAAAGAATCTCTGAAGACTCGCAAAACGTGTCGCAATAATACTGTTAGTTGTTCAGCACTGCGAACCCACCATACTTTGGCAGTCATATCTTCATAATTCCACAATGGTTGATTGATCCTATATTAAGAAAAAACTTGTTGTGTAAACCCTGTGAAAATATTCCTGTAAGCGAAGCTGCAAACATACCTAGACGCTAGGAAATTGATTAAAGATTTTATAACATCCTGGATTGGCATGTTTGGTCCTGGTTGAGGACCAACCCAATTATTTGCATCTTCTGGTGTAACGATGACAGGAGGCACTGTGGTTGACGATCCTGTTGTTTGCGGCCAATTGTTACATGTCCCCGAATCTACAGCATTAACATTGCCACGTTTCATTTATTAAATAAATAACAAAATAGAAGCAGAGAAATGTTAATTCCTCACCATATGCATGAGAATTCGAATAATCTTTATTGCTGTCCATAACTGATTGATTCACATGATTCATTGACATTGGAGGGGTTGACGTTGAGTTAGGAATAGGTGAATGAGTAGGTGTCCCGGTATTAGAGGATGGAAGTGGTGGTGGAGGAGGTGGTGGTGGTGGTGGTGGAGGTGCTGCATTAAATATAGATGATTCTGGTGGTGGCGGTGGCGGTGGAGGTGGTGGCGGTGGAGGAGGTGGAGGCGGAGGAGAAGAAGAGGGTGGCGGTGGTGAAGACGACGGAGGAGGAGTTGTAGGAGGTGGTGCTGGCGGTGGACCATAGAGGTAACTGTCAAATTCTGGATCAACCTCGGTGAAATTATGTTCGAGTATTGGCAAAGCTGGAGTAGAAAGGCCTAAGCCCAGCTGTTCTGTTTTCGATGCCAAGAGTACCCGGGCTACGCCAAGATGATCTCGATGATCCCCGAGAACAACCAATAGATTTAACAAGAGGCAACGACAGTGATCCCTTACGAGAGGTCTTGAATGATCCAAGCCAAGGAAAACTATATGTAACATTAGGGGAACATGGATGGCCCAGTCAAGTTGTATGCCGTCGACAACAACGTCGGTAAGTAGCATCACGGCGATGTTGCATCTGAAATTTAATGATACATTAAATTGTTAGCATCTTTGATATCCGCTTTATTGATAACAATTGATGAACAGAGGTTTCTTTACCTATGAAATCCACTTATAGGTTGCGAACTATCTGGAAGATATTCCGTAAGAGGAGCAAAGTATCCACCGTACTCAGGCATTGGTAAAGGATGTGGCTGTGGGATATCAAACTTTTCACCGCTGCAGGACATTTTTCCATTTACTCCCACGGGTCCATTACGTCCACCGTAACAAGATTCGTCGGTGATCAACTGTAATCAAACACACGACAGAAATGAAGAAAGCTGTAAAGTAATACAGGATATAAAGCTAATAAAAAAGTGAATATACTTCGGCTTCGGTCGTAGGAGTGGACAAATCGTCCGGAAGAACCGGCGGGCCGCTCGCAGTCCTTGTTTTTTCTGCCCTTGGGGTTTGAAATCCAGCAAGTGCTCGCAATGCGGTATCAGATTTTGAGCTACAGACACGTAAGGCTCATGAAGGAAACAAATTAACGAACAAATATCAGGGCGATCGATAGAAGACTTACCCGGTTTTAACGGGATCCTCTCCTGAGTGCCTTTTGGTATGAATGGTACCTTTTTCAACGCCTAGATCACGAGGAGGATTGCCAGGATCAGCGGCAGGAGCATCGCTATGAGAGGAAGCTTTTCTCATACTAGTTAATCTATAAAAAGGTGGAGTTTCTGTTCTTTCGATTAAGCAATTCAATGTTTCGACTGTCTGCAATTCGGTCATCATTTCATCTACTAAACGATCCGGACGGGCTCTAGCCAAATACAAAACCACACGTTTTGCCTGAAATATTCAATAAACATTAATACAATAAGAACCTGGATGACGACTGAAGGAATTATTCGTTAAGGATGCTTACATATGGAAGTAATTCTTGTGGTGCCATTCCTGAGACGATAATCAAATAGCGAATAATTACTTTCAGATTGTTAGGCCAACAACCACACAGAGTAGCCCAAAGTTCCTCCGTCTCTTTCGGATGCTCATCAGAGAACTGCGTAATATAATTTTTATTATTGTATAATTATTTAATTTTAAAAATTAATCATATTTGGTTCATGGTACCTTGGCAGTTATATAGAACAAGTTGTTCAACACCATTTCCGTTGCTTCAGCGCTACCCCAACCCTCTCTGCGGGCTCCTCCGCGGGACATGTCACTTGCATAGTACTGATTAAACAACCATTAAACTTAAGAATAATTACACTTGAAATAGGAAGCATAATTTCATTGTTAAAATAATATAAATCAAAGGGGGCGTAGCTCAGATGGTAGAGCGCTCGCTTAGCATGCGAGAGGTACCGGGATCGATACCCGGCGCCTCCAAACTGTTTTTTCTCATTTTACAAAAACCTTGTCAATATTTTTTTTGTTCTATAAAAGAACGATATTAAACAAACAAATGTAATACTTCCTCATTGCAAAACATGCTATCATAGCTTAGATTTTAAAAAAATATGTCTCCTATGTGACTGACAAACAAGTAGTAAGCTCCTAGATCAGGCGTCTGACTTATCTTAAACTATACTACTGATATCATCTGCAAGAGAATCTTCCCTTATCAAAATAAAAGGGATTTTATTATGAAAAGGAAGCAATGGGGGCGTAGCTCAGATGGTAGAGCGCTCGCTTAGCATGCGAGAGGTACCGGGATCGATGCCCGGCGCCTCCAAAATCTTTTTGAATCCTTTCACCAAATGTAGATCACATTGCACCTTCGCATTGACACTTGCATTTAATCAGATCGTGGGGGGCGTAGCTCAGATGGTAGAGCGCTCGCTTAGCATGCGAGAGGTACCGGGATCGATACCCGGCGCCTCCAATCCTTTTTTTTGAAAGAATATAAAAACAAAATGATTCTTTTTTATTGTATATACAAAGAAGGGTAGAACTGAGTGTCAATCATATTAATACTATTAAATCTATGTCAACATCAACATCATGGATATATGACAATGCTCGAGAAAGGATTAACAAAAATACTTATTGAGATTCAACAATTACCTGATAATAACTCAATGGATTAGAGGGTGGAGGTACATTGGGATCCACCAATTCCATGTTATGCAACCAAGGTAACAAATACTGAAGTAGCAACTGTCGGACCTCCCTTCTGGCTGTTTGAAATCTGTGTGTAATTTCTGAAAATCATAAAGAATAATGATGTATTAAACTGAGAAAAAATGTATTATGAAACGCGTGGCTTTGTACACTAATCATTACATTACTTTGGTGAAATATTAGTTGAACTTAGGACACGTTTGCATTATGGTATTTAGGTCAGTTTCATTGCTATCTTTAAACGGATTGTTCATTTCGCGATTGAACTTATTTAAGTGTTGCTCGCAGCAGGCATTCATACTACTTAACAAGTTTATAATAAACAAAATTTTGTTCTTATTTTTTGATAAGCTCAATTTACGAATATGGTACTCCGACAAAATGATCTGTTTTAATACATGTAGAGGGTTGTCTGAATTCTGTACAGTAACATCATTTGTCATCGTTCATTAGAAGCGGGGCTTGAAATCGGCCTGTCAAAATGTATTTTCTATGCAAACATGCAAACTGGAGAAAGGGATATTAGGTTGAGTTATAAATGGATGAATTATTTCTAGCTGGCTGCTAGCAAAAGGTTCGACCTGTCCAATGTAGTCCAACTTACAAATGTTGCACTCTGTAAACATTGTTCGGTACACACGCCAATAGATGATTACACAAGTCATATTTATGCCTTCCTCGAATAATCATCACTCTATTTTAACCCTTTTCTGAATAGCTTATTCATCTTCATTAAGGATATCATCATTTGTGTAAAGAAAGTAGGAGTCCAATGGATTCACCTTGACCGAATAAGAGTTAATCAACAGGTAAATAGACCCCTCGTATAGGAAGATTAATAATGGACCTAATAAAAAACGTGTACGATTCCACTTACAATGGATGGATTATTGGAAGACTCAATGATCTAAATATAATGCCATAAAATACCATCTCTTTCTTCTCATACTTTGTACAAAGTCAGAAAATAAAAAAAAATAAAAAAACGAATCATTCAATCACCTCAGATCATTCCTTTTCTGTTCTCCGAAACACCTGTACTTGTGAATGCAACAAAATCAATCAGAGATAAATGAAACAGTTCAATTAAGTGAACTGATAAAGCACAGTTATGTAAATACTAGCAAGTGTATCTTCAACTTCTAAAAGACATAATTTTAAAGAAAATAAGCTCACCACTGAACATAGGCATCGTCAGCTCCGGATGTAGCTGAGCGAGTTGACGAGAAAGATACATTTGATTGCGACAATAGGTGGTCGATAGAAGAACATCAAGAGTGCCACCCCTAATTGTACCACTTGAGGACATTCCACCGATGGGATTACTTTGTGGTCCTGCGGCAGAGGTGGCTGTGGTTGATGAACCGCCTACAGGATCATCCTGACCTAAAACAAGAAATGATAGAATTATAAAAATTGCAAATAATTTAAGTATCAATTATGCAAGTTATTGTAAGTGGATACAAAGTGTGAGTACAATCTTCCAACGTTAAATAAGAAGTTTCTTATTTTTTTCATATCGGGTCTTTCACGCAACCGACCAGAATTCATATACTGCCATGGTGCGCAGAAGCTAGATCCATCGGAGTTTATCAGGAACAGTTGCCGATGCACCATGCAGAAATAGTCGAGACGGCATCTCGAGGTATACCGTTTATCTTCATCATCTCTTATCGGGGACATTTTTCTTTCAAAAATAAGCTCTATTTAGTGTGAAGTTTCTATTACTGATAAAAGTTTTGAATAGAAACGATGCGTGGCAAAAATTTTAAAATATTTAAACAAACGTTTTAGTAAGTCTATTTCTATTCATAGCTTCTGCTGTTAAAATTACAAACAAGTGAATCACGTTGACGTTTCTTCATTATGGAATATTGATAAGTGATGAAAAATATAATAAAAATTGTTTGAAATACTTGTGTGAAGATATTAAAAATGATAAATGAAAAATGCACTTAAGTTTGTGAAACTCTAAACTGAACGTTCATTTGATGATGAAAATAGATGAAAGTCTCGCGGAATGTTCTAATTAAAAATGTCCAGAATTTAGCATTAGTGAAATCGTAAACGCATTTCTCCGAGGCTTGCAATAAAAGATGGACTTCTTTATCAACCTTTGAAGACGTCCAGAGAATTTGGCAACACTCCAGCACAGTTTTTCATAGAACGTTAAATAAACTTTGAACGCTTCTGTTCGTGGCATGAAATTTCCTCGATTGCTCAGAGAAGCCACTTATACGGTACGAGTATGAAAAAATAAACAGATAAAATAGCGGTTGGAGAATCGGTAGAACTGTGAATTAAAACTATGTTATAATAACGAAACAAATAAAAGGATCACCTGTTGCAAGAATGATAAAACCTGAACAAGCAACAAGTATTCTAAAAAATTTTATGATTTTTTTACAGCCTACATTAACGAACTACTTTTGTTTTGATATCTCCCTATTGGAAATATTGGGTACCATTTTTTTTGAGTCTTTACATAAAACAAAAGACATCAAGGCTACATGTTATATATGAACGATAAGAAACCCTTTCAGAGGATGAGTTTTATTTGGCGAAAAGAAAATATTTTCGTACGCAACACGTCATCGCGAACGCATCCTGCGTTTCAACTATAAAAATCGATGAATCCTCTTATTTGAGAGCACCTCATAAAAATGGCTCATACACAAAGAGACCTCGTGGAGTTCAACTTAACGGAGAACGTGTTACGTAGCGTCCAGTTATATTATACACCCATGCTCGTTTACTTCGGTTCTCTAGGAAATTGCCTCTCTGTGATAGTGTTCTTTGGAACGAAACTATGCCAATATTCGTCGAGCATCTATCTCGGCGCGTTAGCGATCAGCGACACAGGCTTCCTGGTATCCGTCTTCGTGGTCTGGTTGAATCTTGTAGAGGTCGGCCTGTTCAATCAACAGGGTTTCTGTCAATTTTTCATTTACTTAACCACCCTTTGCAGCTTCATGAGCGTTTGGCTCGTAGTGGCATTTACCATAGAGAGGTTTATAGCTGTTCAATATCCTCTCTATCGTCAATCAATGTGCACCGTGGCCAGGGCGAAAGCTGCGGTCACAATATTGACTACATTAGGTGTTGTTCTGTGCAGTCCAGTTTTATGGTTCTCAGCACCACGGCTACAGTACGGTAAAAATGGCAACGTGACCGAGTGCCATTTAGCTGAGGGGCTTGAATCATGGGCGATCGTTTATAACGTGATCGACACGGTGCTGACTTTCGCGATACCCTTCACCGTGATCATTATTCTGAACGTGTTGATTGCACGGGCTATCTATAGGCATATCAAAATTAGAAAATCTCTAACCAACGAGCCGAGTATCATGAAGGAGAAACAACCGCAAGCGCAAAGCTTCCGGAACAATCTGGCGCAGACCAAAATCACTAAGATGCTTCTCGTCGTCTCTAGCGCTTTCCTGTGCTTTAATCTTCCAGCGTATGTCCTGAGGATTTATGCTTTCCTACATGTACGTGTCAGTAACTATTAGAAACAAATGAATTATTTTATGATTCGTACGAGCTGGTTGATATTGGATGTATAAAAATATAGTTTCAGAGGGAAAGCAACTTAAGCCAGGTACGATCACTGGAATTGGCGCAACAGGTTTGCAATTTGTTGTTCAATACCAACTTTGGGATTAATTTTATTCTGTATTGCGCGACGGGCCAGAATTTTCGAACAGCGATACGGTGCATGTTTTTAAAGCGATTTCGCAGAAAAAACACAGCTGTGATGCAGGTGTCGAATCACGGAATGCAAAATGGTGAGTTGTACCGTAGTTAAATTACTGTTTCATTAAGAGGATTATCTTTTGTGTATTTTCAGTTTCAAACTATGTACGATCAAGTACGACAACCACGGTACAACGACATCCAAGTGGGTTCACGGAACCGTGGCAAGAATTCCATGAGCTAAATGTCATCTCAGAGTAAATCACTGTACAACTAAAGCACAACTTAATGATTGGAATTCGCACACAATCGAACAGATAGATTTGACAAACTTACTGGTCTCCGGTTCTGTAGCCGGAAGGGGACCCACGTTCCCAAAAAATCTTTGATCCAGCAGCTGAAGAAGTTGGAGCGCTGCGTCGTGAACAGGGGCACGGGGGCAACCCGTACTCATTAGGGTAACGTTGATGATGCTTGTGTAATGATCGCAGGGATATTCTCTATGAAACAACATTAAAGACATTTTATACTATATTCATATACTACAGAGGAAATGAAATCTTTTATAATTTGATATCACATTTAAAATAAATTCTTTTTAATTTAAAATATTTCAATGTTTAGAAATACGTGTAGGTTACTAACCTTGCGCTAAAAATTGTTGCCAAGGCGAGAAAACAACCATCGGCTACTTGTGGAGCTCCCGTGTAACACCGGTCGACCACCCAGTCGAGAAGGGTTCCAATATCAGGGTTACATTCCAATAGTAACACTACTGTTTCACGAGCAAGGGCATAAATCTGAAATTTTTGTTATCGAACGTGTGTAGTAATCCCTTAAGAAAGCTACATTAAAAAATGAATTGTTAACGTGAAATTTACTTTCTCATCCTTGCTGGCTAATAGCAAATCTAACCACTGATACAATATAGCTCCTTCTTCTGAAAGAGATTGAGAATTGAAGCAAGGACCACAACACAATAGTCCGCTCATAGCTTGTAACGCTGAAAGCTGTAATTCTGTACAAGATTTTTCTTCTTCGTGTAACGATGATGTACTCGCAAGTGGTCGTCCATAGGGACCTGCCCAACTGGCGAACAACATGAACAAATTCCGTCTTAAATCTCTCTTCAGTAATGTATGACATGTTTCCACTAAAGCATTAAAAGAATGAGGTGTAAGTTATAACGAACATATTTCTAAAAATATTTTTCTACTTATAAATGACTTACAAGAAAAACTCTTGATCATTTTTCTCATGAAATTACAGAAATGTAGTTTAATATCACGAACTGCAGGTGCTTCTTTGTCGGTTTCGTTCTCTAAATATAAACGTGCACCGTCGATATATTCAACGAACGTTGGATGAAGCGACTGTGTTTCACGATCTAACACCGCAGGACTATAAAAACATACGAATAGAATTAATTTAATGATTAACTTATGAAAAAGAATCACGAAGAAACGCGTCGAGCAGACTGATAACTAACCAAATACCAAAAGTTCCGTACTCGGCAATTAATTCTAATACTCTTACAAGCTGTAATCTTAATGCATCTCTTCGTCTTCGACGTCTCATATTTTCTTGCTTGCGGTCAACTGCTTCGCGTATATAAGGAACTAATTCTTCCATTAAGTCTCTAAAAAGTAGCAATCATTGTTAGGAATATTTCTCGTTAAATAATTTCGCTGTTTACTTACTTTAAAGCATCAGCATTCACTTTGCCGATTGCTTGTACAGCAGCATCTCTAACATCAACTACTTCGCACCTTAGTAGTGGTACCGTCAATTTGTACAAAGCTGCAGGACTCGCGTTTGTACCGGGTGATTTGTTATCACCCCGTTCGGCGGAAAGACTATCGGGTGATGAACTATTGAAGAAAATTTTTAATGTTTCATACATATTAAATAAATTCCCTATTTGATTGCTATGTGTTATAGATATAAAAAATGTTGTGCAATTAATTAATAGGTTTAGTTCTTTTATTAAAGTGATCGGGAACGGTCGAGTGAATAAAAATACACATAATCAGTGTTAAATAACACCTTAATTAACATCCAATAAACGACTTAGAAATGATCAAAGTTTCATATAATAGAGATATAGTGCAAATTTACCAACGACCGTTTAATCCCGGGTGACATCGAAGCATGGTCGTTCGCAATGGTTAATTAGGCTCACCTGGTCCGCTTATGCCTGGTGTAGATGCCGGAAATGGACGGAACGGAGAAGCGACCCGGTAGGGTCTGTGCCCCACCGAGATTCTCCAGGCTCTGACTCAACTCCTTACTCATGCACAACACACCAAACTCCACCGTATGCTGACCACTAGAGTATGCAATACAGTGTACCACCAATGCTCCTTGTATCAGACATTATTTACTGCTCAGAAAGTACTACTCTAAGATCCAGATGTACATGTGCGAGACAGTGACGTGTAGCATGCGAGGTAGATAAATGTTACAGAAAAATAAAGCGAAATGTGCGTTTAGGAAACAGAGATACGTTAACTTCAGTCCCGCTCCCGAGTGCAAAGCACGACTTGGTACAAATTGGTGCTTCCCTAGTTTTTTAAATGAAACACCTTGTGTTATTGATTAAAAACGGGCAGACTTTTGGAGATGATGTGCATAATTCACATAAGATTAGACATTCTTACATCTTATCAATTATTAGAGATACAAATGCCACGTGCGTGCCACAGCAGAGATTTTGCATGTCATAACGTGGAGTTAACTTAATAGTTCACATAGTGTTACACTGTAATTTTGATTAGAGAACTTTGAGACAAACAAACATCGGTACTCATCATATGGTTTCCGTGGTACACAACAGACATAAGCAGACATGACCCAACACCAATTAATACCAAATAATTCCACCTGATAATTCGTTGTTTGTGTGTACATGTAAAGCTCTAATGATAGAACTATAAACTGCATTATTAAATATATAATTTGGATCTATCAATGATTTGTGCATATAAAAATGTAGATAATTTTAAAAACTACGCAACTAATGTATCATTTAACAGTATACTCATCTGTTATGTTTTGACTAAGTGTGTTAAATGTCGTTTAACATAATAATAACAACATAATAAAATGGAATGACATGATACTAATGTCCCTGCAGTAACTTATAATTATTCATTTACCTGAGACTGAGGTCTGGACTGGCACACCGTACAACAGGACTCGGTACCGGTGGAACAACTCTGTATCCGAATGTCAAATAATTCTTCCAAACGTGCATATACATGTCCCTCTCGTTTACAGGTTTCCTAACTGCCGTTGAACTTCTCAAGAGAGAAGCTCTATTGTCATTAACAGGTCTAAAAAATATAAATGGGAACATTTATTGTTATTTAATCGTAAACAGATATATTATTTTTAAAGGTGTAATGTAATCTTACGTAGGATCGATTACTGAAAAGAGCGAATTTATACGAGTGAAAACAATAGGCCATGAATGTGCAATAGCAGTGGGACATAGCGTGAGCACTCTATCCTTTTCCAAAAATGCAAACAGACAACTTCCCCATGGATCTGCACCATTTAAATTTAGAGAAGAAGAACTTTTCGTGCTAGTATCTTCGTGAAGACCTGTATCCGTAAAAGTCTATGAATCAGTAAATTGTATGAGCTTATCAAACATTTTGATGTTAAAAGTGTCATCATTACCTGCTGTCCATACGCAACTACTTCTTTCAGCTATCCACTGAAGATCAACGTTAGAAGTAGAAGCTGCTGCTGCTTTTTCAGCAGGTGGCAACATATAATAACATTTCTCCAGAACTACTGGACAACAAGCATCTATTACATCAATCACAGCTTGATCGTCTTCCACACCTCCTGAAATACATAAACAACATTATAATATTTAATAATTTTACATTAAATTTTATGTTTGTACTATGAAACGTACCTAATGCTTTCAATAAAAGTTTAACCTCGCGTAATATATGAACAGCTATTCGTCGAGGATATAGACGACAGTTACAAAGCATAACCAATGCAAAACCTTCTACCAAATGGAAAACACTCGAAACAGGTTCTACTTTTTGTCCTGATTCACTTTTTTTAATGTTACCATCTGTATTTGTTCGCGTATTTGTTCTTGTATTATCTGATTGCTCTTTGGATCTTATGCTGGGACTTGTTAGTGAATTTTTCCAACTTGTAAGTAGTTGTAGAAGCATTCTCAAACCATTATCAACTAGCTGTGGAAAAGTATCCTGAACATCTCTGGCAAGGAACTGAGTAAACCCAAGAACAACATCTTGTCTCCAATCAGGAAAATCTAATACCAAAGTCTGTAAACTTTGATACGCTAATCCCCGAAGTTCTTCGTCCATGTGAACAGTTAAACGAGACAACAAGTCTACTAATTCGGCACCAGTCATTCCATCGGGTATTAAACGAGGAACAGCGGCAACACAAGTTCGGAAAAGATCTATTCTCGGTTTTCGCTCTCCAGTGATCATTTCATCAGGTTCTTTATTCATATTTTGAGTACTCGTCATCATGAGAGGTCTTCCATAATGAACATCTAATGCACGTAATATATCAACGAATACTCGTCGAACATGTGGAAAATATGAGGACATTCCTATACTTCTTGCAGTATCCTCTGTCAACATCTAAATTATATAAAAATTAAATTTTATATGAAAAATATTTGTAAATTGATTGAATCATATTTAGAATTATTTACAATGCTTACTTTATTCAAAAATGTCTTTTTAACCCGCATAGTGTTACCGCTAGGTAGCACACCCATTGTACGAGGCATAGGAGGTTCTCCTTCTTTTTGTTGCAAACTATCAGCTACAACCAAAAAGGCTCGAAGTCCAATACTCATGCGTTCAGGAGTTAAAATTATTTTCACTGGTCGACCGACAGATAATAAATCAAATACTATTTCACGCATTGCAAAATCTAATCTTTCCTGTGCAATGAATTGAATAATTTTCACAAAAATATTCAACGGAGTATCACGTGGGACTACTGCCTTCGATCCTTTAGGAAACAAAGAGTTTACTATGCTTTGTAGTCTACTTTGAGTAGCTGAATTACTTTCGCATTTAATACGTATCATGTACACCCAAAGCAAACGATACAATGCCTCTGTAAAACAAATGCAATACATATATAGATTTGCATTACAATATCGTTATAGTTCTGTAAAATAATAAACCATACCTAATGCAACGCGACACATTTTAGGATCTCGATTCTTCAGATGTGAGAGACACATTGCTAAAAAATAGTGCCAATTTTGTAAAAAAAATGTTTTCTGACTCACGCATAGTAAACAAGTTACAAGAGGAAAAAGAGCAAGCCTATGCTTTGACTTTGTACACATATCTAACGTGGTAGAGTACAACATTTCTACAAAATTTTTTAGACAAGGTACATTAACTTCATTTTTTACGGCCTAAAACAAAAGAAGTATGTGTTAAAATATCAATGCTCATTTTACAGAAGTATATAATGAACCTACAGCAGCAACAGGAACAAGTATCTCAACAAAAAGTCCAGCCAAAGCATGTTTAACATCTTTATCTTTTACTTCTAAAAAATACTGTGCACATTCCTGCATAAACTGAAACGAGGCTTCAAATTCTTCTATTGGTACCATCTAAAAATCAATGTGATATATGTATATATGATAAACATCGAAAATATTATGAGTCCTCATTCTTTAGTTACCTTCACCCGGAAAAATTTCATTCCCATTAATAACGATATAATACTTTGTGTAGTATGAGGTCCGGGTTCTTTAGCACGTAATTCTTTTAATTCAACCATAAAACGTTTTCTGACCGACATAAACCTGGCCTGTGCAAGAACTCCTATTACTTCTGCATAAAGATCAGCAATTATATGAATATTTGCTGCATTTGGTTCATTTTGAATGCTATAAAATAAAATATATTAAGAAATACAATAGAAATCTAAGTCCAAAATATCTTACAATCATCCGTCTATTTCTTACCCTTCTCTATACTTGAAATGTTTGAAAGCAATGTTTTCTATGTAAGTTACTAAATCCTCGTGACCAGGATGAAATGGTAATTGACGCAAAACTTCTATCAACATTAAACAAAATATAAATTCTACTGCAAGATCTCTTCGCTCTTGAAGCAAATCCGCTTCACTTCTTTCAACTGTTTCCACACTTCCTGATACTATTGTATACATAATACTGCAACAAAATGTTTATTTAAAATTCGTCACGTTATTTAATAGTTCTTACAACACACCTCTTCCCTTTCTGATCTTCTTTACCAGGAGCAGGTTTTTTCTGATCACTACCCTGATCAACTAATTGACGTTCATACCAATTAAAAAGTGCTCGCAAAATAGAAGGCAAACAATGTTCTGCAACTGAACCAAATGCAGATAAAAGTTGATCAAACTGTAAATCTTCTCCTCTTTGTAAAACTTTTGAAAGTGGTTTTTCCTGTAACATAGCTATTATTATAAACGATCATTACCAAATAAATTTGTTACTTACATGTTCTGTCATCACTGCTTCCATTTTTTTCTCTGCCTGTGAAGTGAATTCTGCAAATAAGGTACGCATTACAAATTCTCCAGGTCTTAGATCCATATCTCCCATTTGTTGTGGTTTAACAGTTTCCTTTTGAGCACCCCAAGGTAATACTACAGTTATTGCACTCACTCTACTGGAACTTGATTCTAAAACACAAATACACTCTAAACATTTTTATACACTGTATTATTCAGTTCCATAGAAATTGTATATTTACCATTGCCAGAAACTGATGTACTGGCGGTATGAATGCTAACAGCATCGCTACTTTCCCCTTGTGTTGCTCCATGAACAGTAAGTAAATCTTGATTGGGTTCAGGTACACTTTGAGAAGATGATTCAGCTGCTGTTTCATGTAATCCTTCGCCATGTAAAGCTCTGGGTTCAGAAGCTTCTGATAGAAATAAAATATTTACATCTTGGACATTTTCCCCGCAAAATATTCTTTAAATTTCATAACAGTATAAAAAAATATATTTTTAATCACAAGTATATTGTAAAACCATATCAAGAAACTATTACTAAAGAACTATTCTTAGGTCTAAAACTTGTAATTCTGCATGATGGTAGAGACTAACAGATGAAGCCCCATTCTGTAACGTAACAGATGCCTACAATGAACACTAACTTAATTATAATAAAGCTTGACTCTTGACTTTCTATATATGGAAATTTGAAAAATTTCAAAAAAATTTATATTAAACAATTGGCAAGAAAAACTGAAATATACCAGGTTGAGCTTCATTCCCAGGAGTTGGTTGTGTTTCTCCTCCTAAAATATTAATTTTATAATTTATTATCATTGTTTCAAAGTAAGATACATTAACATACAAAATAAATACCAAAATGTTCAATGATTATACTTTAGATTTGACAAATAATAAGTATATAACAAACTATATTTACTAACCTTCAGTCATATTGTCTATGTATGCCTTATCTTCAGGCAACATTAATAGATATTAATGTCACATTACAATCACATAGCACTTTCATTCTAAAAGCAATAAAGAAACTATGTTATGTAAGACACTTCTTTTAATATTTACTTCTTTTAAAAATAAAAAAGAAATATCAGCACAAATTGAATACAACAACACACATACATATACATTATTGTTTTCTCAATTATATATTATCTTACTGTATGTAACAATATTAATGTCTATTATCTCCAATCAACAATAATGTCTAAATATATAACTATACAATTGAAAAATCATCATATCTCAATTTTAATGAGTTGACACATAAATGTATTACAACCAAGCAGTATTTTAAACGTTTGTTCGTACAGAACAGTAACGTATGATGTATGTATGCAAAATAAGAATTATTTAATTAAAGTGTAACAAAAAATGATAAACTGTGGGAAGCCATAACCTTAGATGAAAAATGACATTGCTATAAAATGATAATGCAATAAAAAGATGCACTTCAAGATTTACATTATCATTATCAATAGATAACATCAGATAATTGAAAACCTTAACCAGAAGTGTTTTATTTACCGTAAAATGCCACTAAATAACAATTTAATTCAAAGTCTGACGTTTCATAAATGTCCGGCTTGATTCCTATGTATTCTTCAAAATCTCACATTCCACACGTTCCTTGATATAATATGTTTTTCTTTGCACCACTAGAGGGTATTAGATCATTTACTAAAGTTTTACAAAATAGCATCAAATGCACGTTTTTTGTCCAAATTCGGCTATAATTTTACAAGCATTTTGCATTATAAATGTGTGCAACCTTACAATCCGCTTTACTTCTTAATTAAAATATATTTTTTTAATAGCTACATTGAATGTGATTGACAACTTAAATTTTAAAGACTGCGAAATATATACATGAAATGCATAATTTATTACTATTTCTGGTTTAATCTAAATTAGTAACGCTTGACATTGAATCTATTCTTCCGTACCAACTGTAGATACTATGCTATATCACAGAAACCATAGAACAAACAGTAACTTTCAATGTGTAAAATGACCCTGGCAATGAAGCACTTTGACACTATGCTGTTAACTGTGAATAAACTAGCTTAATTAAAAACCTCTTTCCTTTGCATGGAACATGTATCAGTACAAATCATTCAAACATTTACACGCGATAAAAACGATCTTTTTACATTTCAATTCTAAACAATTGCCAGCGATTTTTAACTGAAACGTTTACTCTGCTTGTGTTCTATTTAGACAGTAACAATCGTACAAAAATTTTATTTTTCAGAGCCTTTGTATTGAGCAATAAGGAATTTCAAATGTCATTTATTTTTATGCAATATAGCTACACATTAATAGCAGAAGCCAAATTCGTGAGCCGAGGACAACGAACATTTTGATAACTAATTGTCAATGAATTCGTATACGAGGCAGTTCTTATACGAATAATTAACTCATTTTTATAAAATATCTAAACGTATTAGTTTCTTACATATTTAGTAATAAATCTGTAGATCCATATTAAATACAAAACTGCTTCAAACTGCTTTCAGGTGCATTGACCAGTTATTGCACTAAACGCAGACAGCCGCTTTCGTCATCAAGGTCGTTATTTAATCCAATCCACACACTTGAGTCCCACCGTTGCAAGTTCGACATAATGCATTTGAGCTAGTAAATCGTGTGTTGCTATATACACTGTCGTGCGTTCAATACGATGACGCTTATATCAAATGCTAATGATTTTCCTGCTACAATCAGGAAAATGATAAATTCCTCGAGCTAGTATGCTCGCGTAACTTTAACAGGGATCGTATTTCACATTTCGATCTTTCTAGTAGCACTATAGTTTCGGTAAAGGTTGCGTAACACCGTCCTTAAGCTAAAAAAAAATACTAATATATAATTTCTAATATATCTTATCAAAAAATATATTTATACATAAGCGGTTTTGCTTACACATGTATTTGTGCAAGCATTATCAAGAGACAGATATCACCTTCTTCCTATGAAACGTGGAATTTCCCCTCGAGCTCTAAGCATACAGATGGTAAATGAATGAAATGGAGATCAATGATACAGTAATAAGGACTACAATTTTAGATTAATATCTTACTATGAACACTTAGAACCTTTAGCCGTTATAATAATTTTACAGAATTTATCGTCTAACTCCTCATAACGCTGTGAATAATTATCTCTTCACGCCTTCTTTTCACGCTACTTTCTTTTTGATGTCTCCTTAATCAGTCGAATGGAAAGAGAATGCACCATTATCGCCTACTGGACTCTGCCCTCTGTGAATGTTTCGGTAAATTTCATGAGTTTCATTTCAAGAGATTTATAATAAATAATTATATTACTATTTAAATCTAATTGATCCAACTGATTTCTGTAACAAATAATTGCACGCGCCACGAGAAATACTCCGATGTGCATAACAGACACTTTTAGCATTAGTCTATTCTTTACAAGGTCCGCTTAGTATGTACGCATCTTCAAGGTGTATAAATACACATTATTTGAAGTTACTCCATTGAACTCTGGCGTTGTGCTCCGTAACATACTGGCCGTTCGCCAGGGTTACGCAAGTCTCGCCCCGATGACCTTCTTCTTCACGAGGGACTGACCTTGCATCTTGTACTTGTTCTTGTACCTTCGGCGCAAACTCGAAACCACCCCAAAGGTGATCACGGCATGACACGTGCAAATTATCGTAACTGAATCGATTAGGATTTGCTATTTACATTAGTAATAAAAATGTAAAGAATGTTAACAATAAGGGCTGTTGATGATGAGAAAATAGCAAATGAATTGTATACGAACGTTAATCAATGCTGAAGAGAATATAGAGGCCGCTAGGCAACGATCGATTGATATGAGAGAATATTATATGTATAGTAATACCTGCTCTAAATCGGATAGGACCATATTAAATTGTACAAATCTCGGCCAGCTTTTTATTCTTGACACAGGCTTCTTTCTTCATGTTTGCAAATTCTCCCTGATTTTAAACGTTACATCCAATTACTGGTACTGCAATAAGGGGATATCGTCTGTATTATACTTACGTTACAATGTACTATAATTTACTGGTAACTGAAAACGAATAAAGATGGATGTATTACACGCAGGCATTTTAAATATGCTCATGATTTTTCTAAGAATATACCTGTTAAAATTAATTATATTATTCAGCAACTAAAGCTCTGTAAGAGATTCTGATGATGTTAGGTTAGGTTAGGTTAGGTTATCAGTTAATTCATACCTTAAATAATTTGCTATCAACATCGATACGTTATGATATTTACAGCGAAATTGTAATAACTAGTAAATGCGAAATCAGCTTTGACTTAACGAGTGAAAAACAATAGACGTTTCACTCTACCGTTGAAATAAATTCCCGCCTCGTTGTTTCATATTTCGAATACCTTGATACTAGCGACAATTTCCATACTTTACTTGACCGGAAATGCGTCATTTTACGCGGTTAAACGTCTAATTTTGAAAAGGATGATCATGATCGCATTTTATCAAGTTGATATACGCGTGGTGACCGTGAAATGAAGCAGGAAGACGCTGTGTCGTAAGACACGTGAAGAAAGGTTACGAATTCGGAACAGAGTACGCGTTTGAAGTGCGTGAAGTGTCAGGGTCTCAAGGTGCGGTCGTGCCAGAAGATTGAACCTGCGCAGAAGACCGCACGTGACCTGCGCAGCTATTCTTAGCAGAGGTCCGATCAACGAGAAGAACTCTGACTCGCTCACTCGTCGTCCGGCGCGCGTCCAAAACGTAGGAGTTGATTTCTCCTCTTTCTTTTGTTAACCCGTTTCTCACAAACCAAATTAACCGTCAAGATGTCTGGTCTCGCGGATCCAGTGGCGTTCCTCAAGGATTTCGTGGCTGGTGGTGTTGCCGCAGCAATTTCCAAAACTGCTGTGGCACCCATCGAGCGTGTGAAGCTATTGCTGCAGGTACAGCACATTTCCAAGCAAATATCCGAGGAACAACGTTACAAGGGTAAGTTTCTCAATGAAACGATGAAATTCATTCTATGATTTACAGAAAAGTAGTGAAATTAGTAGTACTAGATGGTAAAAAGTTCGAAACATGCAAGTCTGAAAAAGTACTGTGCAGAACGGTAAAAGAATACGATAAAGATTCGAAACATGTGACAGTTTGAAGCATTTCAGTCATGTCGGTGTGACGAAACTGCAAAGCGTTTCCGTTAAGCTGATCCACAATGGTTAGAAGTCAAATTCCCGTTATGTAATGTCGTTCGGTACTATATGTTAGTAGTACGTCATTAATTCCACGAGTATTCCGATTTTTTACTTTATATAACAAAAGATGAACTTTCGGGTCTTACATAACTTTTGTAATATCGATTGAATGAGGAGTTGTAGTTTTATAACTAAACCACAGTGGATCGATATTCGATGAGATGACTCGTCTACCAGGGGGCAGCGTGTGGCTTTGCTCTTTGAACGCAACTTCGTACTTCGTATGCCGATCGATGAATGTGCCATTCAATATGGCCGACATTTCTACTGCAAAGTAGAAGCGTGGCTTTAGAATTTTTTATAACAGAAAAATCAAATGATAATTATGAGAATAATCATTTCATTGCATTAAATGTAATATTTAACCGTTTCATGAATAGTAGTCAACGTTTCATTCTAGAAAAGAAAAGGTTATCAAGATATAACAAGTTTAACGTGGAATTCAATTAATAATGAAGCAAGTTATGATTATTTCTGAATTTCTAAATGAACGGTTGCTAAATTTTCGTTCAGTATTATTAATTTTTCAATAATCGGATGTTAATACGTACAATATAAAACAAAAGGAAAAATTTAGATTTCCTGACCTTGAAAGTATTTTATACTCGCAGTGACAATAATAGCATATTTCCGAAACTTCTTAAAACAATAATGTCCTCTTATTATAGTAAGAATAGATTTTCTTATTTAAAATTGGAAAATTACATATTGTTGCAAAAATTTCTACCCACTGTTTGTTACATAACAACTTGCAATTTAGTGTATATGATAAAATAAAAATTTCAAATTATTACATATGAGATTCAATTGTTTGATCTATATGTATAGTTATTGAAATTATAATGGTACGATTGAGACCTAAGTACTAAGTATACAATTTTATGTATGTATGGTATTCTAAAATATATTATTTGGCATAAATGACAATTTAAAACCAGCAAATAAATTTGTGTTTCAGGTATGGTAGATTGCTTTGTACGTATCCCCAAAGAACAGGGATTCCTGAGTTATTGGCGTGGTAACATGGCCAATGTCATTAGATATTTCCCAACCCAAGCTTTGAACTTTGCCTTCAAAGACAAGTACAAGCAAGTTTTCCTTGGTGGTGTTGATAAAAATACACAGTTTATGCGTTACTTTGTTGGTAATCTTGCTTCTGGTGGTGCTGCTGGTGCTACATCTTTATGCTTTGTCTACCCACTTGACTTTGCCAGAACTAGGTACTTTATACATCTATTTTTGTTGTCAAGAATTTCATTTGTTACTTAATTTGTTAAGCTGTTGATCAAGAGAAAGAGAACCGTCGATTAAAAATTGATAAAGATATATGTATATAAAATAATTACTTATAGGTTGGCAGCTGATGTAGGCAAAGCTGGAGCTGAACGTGAGTTCTCAGGTCTTGGTAACTGCTTGACCAAAATTTTCAAGGCTGACGGTATTGGCGGTCTGTACCGTGGATTCGGTGTATCCGTCCAGGGTATTATTATTTATCGTGCAGCCTATTTTGGTTTCTATGACACTGCCCGTGGTATGCTGCCAGACCCTAAAAAGACACCATTCCTCGTTTCATGGGGTATTGCTCAAGTAAGGGATTATCTTGATGTTAAATTTCTGCTTTCAAATTGTAATCGATTTACTAAGATTTCCCGTTGTTCTCATTTACAGGCCGTCACAACTGTTGCGGGTATTGTATCTTATCCATTTGACACAGTACGTAGGCGCATGATGATGCAGTCTGGTCGCGCCAAAGCTGAAATTTTATATAAGAGCACCCTTCATTGCTGGGCTACTATCTACAAGTCAGAAGGTGGTAATGCTTTCTTCAAAGGAGCGTTCTCTAATGTGCTTCGTGGTACGGGCGGTGCGCTCGTATTAGTACTTTATGATGAAATTAAGAATCTCCTTTAAGACAATTATAACAATCCTCACCTCATTACCTTCACAACTACAATTGCAAGTACCATCTTTATTATTCTCACCATCCGATATCAAAGCAGTAATCAGACCGAGTGACTTCCAGACTGAGACAGTATATAAGCTCTGTCGAGAGATACGAAAAATTTTCTGTTGGTAGCTCTTTGTTAAATGCATACAACTCGACAGGATATGTATTTTAACTGTAGAAGAGAATTCGCTTAATTTATTGCCGAATTCAGTATTTTCTTGCAAGGGTACACATGTGCTATTTTCATATTCCATTTTTGTGAGAAACAAAGAGGAAGATATATTTATAATATATCTAAGGAATCAAGGGCGTGTAATTACCTACATAATGGATATGAAATGTTTGATACATGTGATTATGTAGACGATGGTCGGGACATAAAGTAGTGAAAGTAATTACCTAAACAATAAAGAAAAAAAATTAAAAAGAAAATAAAAACCGAAGTATACAATTGAACGAGAAGGACGCGCGACGAAATATCATTACGGCGATGGCGGGGCGCGTAGACTTGGGCCGCCCCCCGCCCTTATTCTCGGCCCGTTGTAGATAATTAATAATTGATCATAGTAATGATATCCATGAAGTTCGTCGAGTTTCAGTGAACAGTAATTTAATTTCGCACTTCAAACAACTACGTGTAAGATAATGAGAAGCGTTACTTTTGAGTGCGTGCATCCAATATGTTCATGTTAGGATGTATGCAAAAAAGACGGCAAAAATCAATAAAACTGATATAAAATTCATTTGTCGTATTTTTCTTGAATCCCAAACTTTATTTCATAATGTTTTAGTTTCATCTTCATCAGGCGAATAGAAATGATAAAATTATACACATTTTTATATAGTAAAATTGTATTTCAATGCACATTCATTAGACGTTCATCATTTCGGACGTTTCATTAAATGAACTGTATCCTAACAAGCGCTTCAAATGAAAAGTACAAGATTTTATTGATTAACCTGCTGATACAGCAAATTAAGTAGTTTGAAAAGTCATACTTTACTCAGATTTTAAATGGAACTACGCCTGAATTTGAATTTTTCGAATGATTTTAACAACACTAACACACATTACAATAATACATTAATTTATATGAAAATGATTTATATATTATTTTATATAAGACTATCCTTAAAATGAATGACTGAGATGCAATTGAACTTTGATGGTTATGCTTGATATTTACACAATACAAAAAGAGATCTATGGAATCCTAAAGAGGAATGACAGAAAAACTTGGGACATAATATAAAATAGATCTTATATACAGTGTTTGAGCGACGGTATTAAGAACGGTATCATACAGTCGTTCTATTCGAATCCCCTGCTATCATATCAAGAATTCGACTTAAACCTGGCATATTTAAAATGGTACCCAAAAGAGGTACTCTCCGTAAAAAGTTTATTGCTACTGGTAGAAAACCACTGCAACATAAATATGACAATAATGAAGATTTTCATCTATCATGTAAATAAAATATAAATTTATCTCTGAAAATAAGATAAATTATGAATAAATACCTGAATAATAATACAAAACCATATGTTTCTAAGATCATGCCTACAATAGGCCAACCCATAAGGACTACAATAATACCTCCTAGAAATGAGATACTAGCTTTTATCTTATGTTTCTGAAAAAAGAAGTTTAGAGTTCTCCTTGGTCCAATAACGCATGCTAATCCAGATATAAACAGGATCTGTAGAATGATAATTAACTGACATTAGCAGAACCATGTACAATAATAAGTCAGTACACGTAAAAACTATTCTTACATTTCCAATAGCAAGAAGACCTTTGTCAAAAAGCAGTAAAACTCCAAGAAAAAGGAAGGATATTCCAAATCCAGCTAGGCCCACTCCAATTTCTAAAAATAATACATTGTTATTACATATTGTTTTAAAGTTCAACCTGTACTTCACAGTTTGCAGAAGATCTTTTAGTTTACAGAACCTTTTATAAACATTGATTTTTATGTTACTTACTTTGTGTATCTGTAATCTCAAACATTATAACCGTATAATGTTGGACTTTTAAATTATTTTTATTACAGTGCTTCCTTCAACCAGATTTAGGTAAGAATTATAACGAGGAGCATAACCTAACCTACATCCACGTCATTAATCGTGATGCGACACTTTTTAACTAAGTACTATTTTTCATCACCTGAAAAGTGTACATACATTAATTATTATGCACATGTTCCGTTAACTGCATTAGTAAAATATTTGTCTTAATTAAAATACATTAAATATTTATTAAAAAAATGAACGCCATCACGCACGCATATTTGAATGTTTCTATACATCTATATACATAAGATTTTAATAAAATCTTAATTTCAAAACAAAACCTAATTTTGGCGATATTAATATTAAAAGTAATTTAGAAAATAAAATAAAGTGGCTTTTAATTACCAGATATTATGAGATGAGGTATACAATTAAGACCCGAGTGATAAAATAAATACCCTCTTTTGCCACACCTTGCTTTAGCAACTGAAAAGACGCTATTTTTACGCCCTCTAATTTTATTTTCTTATAAATCAATAAATATCAGCACAAAACTAAAAGATTATTATTAAAATAATTGTGTCACAAAGTTGTAATTTAAAAAAACCGCTATAAATTAAAATTTTTTAAATTCGATCCTAGCGCCATCTATACAAAAAGGGCGCAAACTACTCAACGATTTACCGACCCGGATTTTTTGAACAGGGAACACTAGCGCCATCTATCGGGAAACGGCGGAAACCATTCGGCAAGTAGTTTGCGCGGTTTTCGTATAGATGGCGCTGGCATCTAATTTACGGCGGTTTTTTAAAAATACAAGTTTGGAAAACAATTTTTGTGACGAACGGAATTCTCTTTTATGGGCCATTACAGTTTTAATGTGTACCTAATTAATTGTAGAAATTTGCATAAGATTGAATGTTTAATATTTCTTAGAATAATGTTATTTATACTTTAATATTATAAAATGTAGAAGACGATTGATTGACAAGTTTCCCGCACAAAATTACTTTTACTATTTGAAACAACCAAGATTATACACATAAGTTTTATTAAATATTATTTTTTATTTACATTATTCCCGGTATGTTTACGTTTCTCTATACAGGATTGCTTTTACATAACGACATAGGCCGACGAACAACTCAGCCCCAAATAGTTTCCGCTTTCTTTTTCCGTTTTTTTTAATTGACGATACGGATTTAAAAACAAGAAGCGTCTAAATGCGTGTTCTAGACTGTACCATTGTTCGTTGCAAATAGTACCGTTAGAATTTATGATCAATTCGATAACAATGGATGTACGGGTATTAAAAAAAATTTATTAGTATGTATATCATATATCACCTCAATTGTGTTGCATCGAAGAAGCCAATAAAATATATAAAATATTTCTTTCGAAAAAGGAAAAGAAAAGGAACCTTTAAACATCCTGTGACGACGAGATAAACGAACTAACTTTCTTGTTGAATAAAAAACATTAGGGAAACATTAGGTGTTTCGCAAAAAAAAGCTTTTATTTACATTTGTTCCTCGGTTTTTTTTTTTTCTTTTCAGCGCTACGTTTTTAATCTAAAATTGCAATAAAATCCCACAAAATCGATTCGCATTCACACTGAATACCCTTTTCTTTTTGCCGTGGAATGTTTCACATAATAAATACAGCTTTCGACATAAATTAAAAATGAGTGTTTTGCATTTACAACAACTGAGAACGATGAGAGGGGTAGAAAGTTGCGTGTATGCACGTCGGTGCGCGTGTCTGTCTGTCTGGTTTTTGTTTTTTTTCCTTTAATGATTGTTGATGATGAATGTTACGTATGTGTCGATGAGAATGTAGTGCTTTATGTCTGTTTGTTACGCGTGAATTCTGGTACGTGCCGGGTTGAACGTACGAATTCTATTTCGCAATGAATTTAATGTCTACTCACGACGAGCCCGTATACCTTATTTACAATGTCCATATAAACATACACATTGCGCTGTGATCGCTTAAATCTATACCGATATTACGAAGTGAAGAAGGTAGAAAGTACCGTTTTGTACCTTTAGGTTCAGCGAAATAACTCGATCATCGGGATAATTGAAACGACGACACGATGAGGAGGACGAGGAGGAGGATGTGAAAAGTGATAAAGATAAAGATAAAGAAACGCAAAGAGGCGGTAGGAGAGGAATGGAAATAATGCTGGCCTGTGCGCGAAGGTTCAATTCTTCGTGTATGGGGGTGTCTCCGACGCGGAGAGGAAACATCGTTACATCGTGCTGCTGCTCGCTCGACAATGAATTTGTTAAACAGAAATCGCTGATATCCGTCCCGTACGAGCGCAGCACAGCTTCTACCGGCTATCTTATTATTCGACGTAACTCAACATCGGAACAGGGAATTCTTAATGCAACCTTAACACCTAAATAAATCTTACAATTGGACTGAGTGATATAAATTATTATCGACTGTACAACGCCCAGTAGTCTTCTTCACAATCTTCTTCGATTTCTCTCTTTTCTCTCTATTTTTTCGTTTCCTTTCGACTCGACAACAGAAACAGTATACATATATTTATATATATATATATCCTAACTCGCTCGGAACTCTTTTCGTCGAGATTACTGAAAGAACTCTTCCTCGTTTTTTGGACCACATGTGAATAAATTTCCCATTTTGTTTTTCTCTATTTTCGTTATAAAATATACTTGCCGTCGATCGCAGATCTAGTTACGCTCGGTTGAAGTGGCGCGCAGGATCTCGAGGAAGGACACGCGTGTCCTCCGAACGGCCGCTATTCGGGTACCTTCAATTTGTACAACGCTTTTAAAAAGAAAAAAGACAATTCGTAACAGACGATCGGATATAAATCATCCCGTGCCGCGAAATCATTCTAAGGTATCGTTTTCACTAAAATGCCGTCGAGTGTCTTTCGCGTGTGCGGCGAGAAAACGACAGGCTAGGAAAGTGAATGGTACCGGTAAAAATAAATTATACTCGTCTACCACCTCTGTCCACGGGATTACATTTCTGCTACTCGAGGAAGGATAAACGAAAAAAAAAAAAAGGAAAAGGAAAAGAAAAACGAAAAAGAAAGCGCTTGCCTCTATAGGTTTCGTCACGATACAACGTTCGTTTAATCACATGAACCTTAATAAGTACCAAGTGCCTAATGTAAGGTCAACATTCGTGATACCCTGAAACTACCCACGTAACAGGTAGAAGAAAGAACTCTGTACAGAGTTCACCGTATACTTTTCCCTTCTTTCTATCACTCTCTTTTTCTCTTTCTCTTCGTCACGATCGAGAACCTTAAATAAATATGCGGATACCATGAACGGCGAAAGGTTCGTCGGCTCGGACCATAAGACGCGAAGCAGGAGAATGCGAATGGCAAGTTAGGTATCTATACACAGGACGTATCTTACATAGAATAAAGGTAAAATTAGTTTTCCTCCAAGTTTAGACCATTAGAGTCGCGATAGCCCGGAACATCCTATATTTCGTTGACGATCCCCATTGTATCTGCAACAGAATGTAGTAAAACGATTAGAAAAAGAAGAAGAATAGGGTATATCAAGCCCTTCTTTTGATGCTTCTTCACCTACGCTTCCTCTCAGCTCGGGGAAGCCTAAGCGAACTTTAATTATTTTAATACCAGTAGTAAAGGGTTAAATCAGAAGAAACAACGTTATCCTCTTTTTTAAACAACAGAATCACCAAAGTACCCATCGCGTCTCTCCGGAAAGCTGAATTTCGCGCTCGTTAATTCATTGTTCCTATTAAATTACTTTTAACGGCGATGAAGGGCTACGGAGTTAAGGTAGGAAGCGAAAGAGAAGTTAAACTTCCGGTAAGTAAAGTGTATTATCAACTTTCTTAGCGTGATAAAACACACGAGCTGAGAATCCGAAGTTTTAACGAGTACGCTGGAACACAAAGAGCTAACGTCCGTTGCCTTCTTGTTTTTTTTTTTTTTTTTTTTTCAATTTCAAACCGAAATGCACGCGTTTTCAACTCACCGTATCAACGCGGAACAAGAAGTTTCTATCCTGGTTGTACGAGCAACGCAGACTTTTACGTGTTGATGTACAACTGATGATGAGCCTGATGCTGACTCTGGTGCGGATGTTGCAACGAGTGTTGATGCTGATGCTGATGCTGATGCTGATGTTGATGCTGATGCTGATGAGGATGCTGATGCTGCAACGTTGGGTGTCTCGCGTTGAACCTTACGCTTCCGGCCAGAGAACTTCCTCTTCCGTGAGTGCCGACCACGCTCGGTGTATCCGACAACTCGTCGTCCTCCGCGCCGAGACTTCGGAACCTGACGAAACCGTCCTCGGCGACCAGCATCGTCGAGCCGGTGGTCGCCGTTTGCTCGTGGACACCTTGCACAGGTGTGTGCCGACCACGACTCTCGGAGCTTCTCAGAGTTTGGATTCCATTACCGTGCCGGTTTAACGAGCCGCGACCTTCGTGCGGGAAATGGCCCATGGTGCCTGACTTGCGAATGGAATGTCTCTCGAAAGTACCTGCCACAATCACAACGTTAATTAGCATACCATATCTCTCTCTCTCTTTCTCTGTAGGTGCTTTTTCTTCATTCGTTTTTCGATGGTTCGTGAGTCGTGTATTAATATTAATCGAGATCATAGCTGACGCGAATTCATCGCGAAAAGAAATTGTTAGACCGGAACAATGCTCGCTATCCGATGTTCGGGTAATAGAACGACGCGACGTTTCGAAGACAAAGCATAGAAAAAATTGCTGATTTTCCAGGTTTCAATACGGCATTAATAGCGTCAGTCAGCGTTTTATTCTTCGAGCAAGTTTGATTGAAACAGTTGACCTAATTTATCAAAGTACTTCTGCTGAAAGATCGCGTGGAAGGGTGACAAAGTTTTATATTAAAATTTCTTGAAAGAAAATAAATAAAAAAAAAAAGAGAGACGATCCCCGTTTTAGCAGTTAGAAAATTCTCACGAACCACGAAGAAGGAAATACTGGTACGGGTTATAACGTTCGATCACGGATAGCGTTAGCCGATACCTGATATGTTCAAATGCTCGGGTAGCGTGTTCAACGGAAAGCTATCGTCGTAAACCTGTTTGCCCGTTCTCATCGTGTAATTCTGAATCGCCTGGTTGGTGCTGCAGATAGCGGGGTAAAGCACGTCGTCCATATTCTCGGTGGAGGTCGAGCTACCACAGGGGAACAGAGCGAATCCGGAATGCACCGGGTGTTGTTGGAGTTGTTTCTCTCGCAACGGATACTGCGATAGACTTGCTACCCAGGCTAGAAGACCGCATACGGTGAGTTCCAGTAACCTGACCGAGAATTGCCAGCCCCACCATAGCCAGGGATAAGATTGCGGTTGTTCCTGAACGTTGCCGAAGATTCCGTACAATTGAACGAAACCCATCAGGATGAATAGAAGAGCGGTAGCGATGCTGGTGGTGATGGCTGTGCTCAATGCCATCGTGGTAGGATCAGCGCCGACTATGTGATTCGCACCGGCCGTTTTGTTATTCGTCAGCAGGATCTGACTGCGTACCACTCGATAGACGTACATGTAACCTAGGCCCAGGGTGACGCAGACTATGATGTAGATGCACTGACAGATCAGCGGTAGTATCTTCGCTTCGTCCTGATAGCCGAGCACGTGCGTGGACACGTGAAGGGAGACGCAAAGTACGATGTGGACCGTGGAGAATAGTAGAAGGGCGGCTGGGGTGAGGAACCTGTTGTTCAACGACGGCGCCTCGGAGCAACGAGCGAGGTAGAGCACCAGGGTGGCAAACGCGGTGGACAACAATGGCGCCGGTAGGTACATCAGTACTCGGGACAGAGGTTCCGGCAGCGAATGGCCTAGATTGTAAGCGTCGTAAAATAGATGAAAGCACCTCAGGGTGCAGACGGTGGTGAGAAGGAGATGAACGGTTAAGAAGTACGACTGGGTTAGTAGATTCGTTGCCTCGTTGAAACGGACGATCTTGTAGATCGAGTATAGAGCCATTAAAGTGAAGAGGATGGCCGCGACGTATACGTGAAGGAACCAAGCGATCCTCCAAGTGGACTCGAGGGGATGATGCGTGTCGACCTGCGGCACGATATGGTCACCGGATTCGTCCGGTCGTTTCGGCGCGGGCGCCGGTGGCTGTGGTTGCGGATACGGTAATCTCTCCGTGTCCACGATCTCTATGTTCTCAGTTTTGAAGCCGTTCTCGTTCCTCAGCCCGTGATAACCGTCGTCGTCGTGCCTCCTCGTATTCGGCAGATTAAAGATCGTCGGCTGCGTGACGGACTTTGAGGAATCCAACGTGCTGGGCGTCCTGCTGGTCGTCGTCGACAATGTGGTCATCTTTTCGGTGGTAGGGGCAACCGGGGCATTCTGCGGCGGAGTTTTCGTTGCTAAAGGCTTCAGAAGTATCTCCGGAATATCCTGCTTCCTGCCGTTACTGCCCGACAGTATCCTCGAGATACTAGGGTAGTGGAGCGTAGGTACAAACTCGTTGGTATTGTTTCTTCTATCTAATTCGCTCGATTCTACGATATTCTGTTCCTTGCTGGGGGTGTTCAAGGGTTTGTTCCTCGAATGCGAGTGCCTCTCGGGGATTTGAGAAGGTGCCTGCAGGTCGGGCGGCCTGATGGGTATCCTTTCGTGAGCCGGCGTACCGCTGGGCGGTGGTACCGGTCTCTTCAGCCCGGAATGAGCATCCGAGTTTGTTCCCCGCAGCGTTGGTTTGTTTGCGAACGGATGCAGATACTCGGGCGGGAGGGGAGGGGTGAAGAGGGCGCGAGACGGAGGAGCGTAGGAAGGTAATTCGCGAAAAACCGGCGACACGGTCGCCCTGGGGACAGGGGGATACCTCGCCGATGGTATCGAAGGGGTGGCGGTGGTGGTGGTGGTGGTCGTCGTCGTGGTCGTGGTCGTGGTCGTCAAAGGCGACGGTACCGTCGACAGGGTTGTACTGGCCGAAACTTGAGCATCGTAGGCAGGCACGCTGCGTTTCGTCGTCGCCGAGCTGTGCGCGACTTTATTGAATATCGCGGCCAGATTCTTCTCGAGCGCGGTGTTGTCCACGTTGAATATCGGACTGTTCGGTCCGCCATCGCCGCTGGCCGAGCAGAATAGGCTGCAGGTGATCGCGAGCAATAGCGTGGACAGGATTAGGGGCACCATCGGCGTCATGATGATGCTCGATAGCAGAACCTGAAGCACGGACAGCTGGAGAAGTTAGCCAGGCATCGGTTCATTCCATAACCAAGAAGGAAACGAGAGCTGGCACGCAAGCACGCGACGACGAGTGCACTTAACGTAAGGACACTTGTGAAGACGTGTGTGTATGTATCTGTTCTCTAACGAATCCCTGTATCTCTCTCTCTCTTTTAATGTTCTCTTCTTGAGACTTGCCTCGGTATTATACACGGGCTAGCCTCAGAGTCTCTGCGATGTGCCGTTCTTCGAGTCGAAATATTACATTCCTAAATGTAGGCGTGTTAGCGTTAGTCTAGGTTCCTGCTGGATTTGCTGTTACACCGTCGGTTGCGCGTTGTCAACGGTGTCTGTTGCATTTCCCTTCGGATAGTAACTATATCACTGGCCTGATCTTTGGGAGCGGTTCACTTTACGGTCCGTTTACTTCCAACTCTTCGTTCCGCTACTTCTATCTACATTTTCAAAAAAAAAACAAAAAAAAAGACACTTTCTCTAGACCGAATTATCAGATTCGCAGGCGATTCGCCGATAAACAGTTGTCGTAAAAGCGTGCTGGAAAGTAGGAGAGGGCTGCTCTTCCAGCTAAGAGGACAGCATACGCCGTATTGCAACCTGACCTCTATCGACTTCTCTCTATTTCGTTGCCTCCGCGAACAACTATTACCGCTTCGCCTCGTGTACTTCCATTATATCATCGGGATTCAATAAGCCTTGGATTATATCGCCCGTCGAGTCGTTCGCCGTTGCGTTCCGTTGCGTTCCGTTGCGTTCCCGTTGCCCCTTGCGCCGAGCGAGATTCGATTTAAAACCTATCTACTTTTACGGACGATAGAACGTCGGCGGCGAGCTTGTTAGCCAGACTTAATCCGATATCATCATTGTTCGAAGCCATCCCAGATTCGCGAGAGCCTCGGCCGAAACCTGAATTCCTGGGGGTACATTTAATGTTTAGAATCAGTCGGAGTTGATGTTGGATGGGATGTGCTCTTGCGGTTACCGCGTCCATTCATTTCCCCGCGGAACGTGTGCTGCTGCGTTTACCGCCTGCTCGCTTTTAGCCACTCCTCCGACACTCCTGCGGTCACCGACACCTGTGAAAAACAACCTTTATTAATTCCACCCTTCTCGAAAATATCCCGATCGATTCCTTCGACTGATACTTTAAATAAATTTTCAGAGATTCACGGATTTCAAGAATGGTAGCGCATTAAAAGCCGTCATCGGACGAAGGTAACGCAGATTATGCTAATAAATCGTTTTAGTTGCTGTCAGAGACACGCGTGTTTTACCACGATGCTGGTTTTAAGCCCCCGAAACGATTAAACGAGCCCATCTGTGTTCGATGCTTCTACCGACATACGTTTCATTCGTTTCGATGAAATTAACAACGATATGGAAAATGTAAGAAAACGGTGGGATGGAATAAAGGAATTGGAAATTGGAACGGTCTTTCTTAATAAAGGAGAGAAAATGTAGGTCCCATTGAAATAGCACTTTCAGCTAGTACACGGAGGATAGATAAGACACGTAAGCCAATACGAAAGTAAGAAGCAAAAGAGATGGTGAAGTTCCACTTACGGTGTCGTCGGTGACACAATAGCCCGAGACCCGATTTAAAAATGTAATTTTACGTTAACAATCGATCGTAAATTGAGCTGTACAGGCTGGTATTAAATTTCGGATATAAAAGTTAGACGGAAGCCGTTCGAATGTAGACGACTCGGGCTACATGGATGCGCGTTACAGGAAATTGTTCAACCGAGTAAGAGAAAACCATACGAGTGACTCAAGTTTTTCCTATAATTCTCCTCCATTATAATCTACACTTATGGAATACGAAATAAAGTTTTGAAATAACGAAGATTCAGGGTGCGATTAATTAACAGGATCAATAGGATTTCATCTGATCTCAAAATCGGATCATCCTTGCGTCGGATGTAAAAAACTGAAATATATATATATATATAAGTTCCGCTCGACGTATACACTGAACCATTGTTGTTTCTGCAAATATTTGTCGCGTGTATACTCGCACAGAATCGTGCGAATACATTTGTTCGAATAAAAGACATAAATATGGGAATATGCGAAACGTTCGAAAACAAAAGTAGGTCACAAACGAAATACCTTATTTTGACGATTCTCGCTAACTCTGATTTATCTATCGTTAAATATTTATCAGCTCGAGGGCGGTGGTGATCATCGATAGTTTTCATTAGGGTGAATCTTCTGTGCAAAGAAGCGGAAGAGGGTGATTTGTATTCCGAGGAAAAAATTCGAGACATAAGACTGGGAACCGAAGGAGAAGCTTATCGTTTCTTGGCACTGTAAAAATATAATCAACAGGTGACGATACGAATCTGGTATTTAAACTGATCCGAAGAAGCTCGTTTCCAAGGGAAAGATCGAAGAGGAATTACAGGACGGTGCAAAGATCACGAATGAATTGAAAATAATGACAACTTATTTATTGTAAAAATGAGATTCTAAGAATTTCGCGTTTGCCGATTAAATTACAGGGTTGTACCAATCGAATAGATATGTTGTAAAATTTGCAAGTGTCGGATACGATTGGCGAACGATCGGCTATCGGAATTCGATGTAATTTCGTTCGCTGAAACAGCCTTACAATTAACATCGAACCGCGTCCGATACCGAGTTCGCTGCATTTCGTTCACGTGACTCATAGAGAACCAACGGGAAGAGCCATTTTATTTGCTTACCGCGGCAAAGTTACGCGGTATAACGCTAGAATTCGTTAAACTTTTACAATTACTTTCCCGTGGCGCGTACGGATTAAAATAAATTTCGAATTCTCCCGGTGCGGCCTCCGTTGAATTCGACGAAGCGCGAAAAATTTAATTAAAATTTACTGTTGTCGGAAGTAAAATTAAACGAATTAATCGAAGCTCAGTCTCTCTCGTACATCTTTCGTCGGGGAATAAAAAGTTGCGAAAAATTAACTCGAATTTTTCCGTTCCGGCAGGACTGTTATCGAACGAGGGGGTGGAATTTCATTCATTTCGTTCGCGCGGGGGGAGGAAAAAGAAGAAAACAGTACTCGTAACCTTAGAAACGTGCATAAATCTGATCTAGAGCAATTATTTATTAGAAACCGTCGCCGTTGCGTTGATTTAGAAGGGAAGCAAACGTGCAAACACCGTTAGTCAGGTTGAAGGGTGATTTTTTTGTTCGATAGAGGAAAATAAACGCGCGTTGAAAGCTAGCCTCCTGCCTTTCGTGTTTCGAAACGTAACACGACTTATCGGTTCTGATTTACCAGCTAGTTGATTTAGTTCGGCAAATACATGCCGCGTTCGTTAGTTGCGCATCTGCATCCCCCTAAACCTCTTCCATCTCTGTTACGGTAGATCCGAGTTGCTCGTTGCCTTCGAGCCCGCTGATCGGTTCGCATCGCGTGACCAAACTTGTCGATGCTGCACGCATACTGTTTGCCAGTGAAAGCTTCGAACCGACCAGATCGTCCCTCGATTGATTTCCACTCCGTTCAGACGATACAAAATCAATAATGAACGTTTTCCCGTGAAACGAAGTCTCGCCGCTTTCGAGGAACGCCGTTCGAACGTCCGACCAGACGATCTATCGATCGGACGTCCCTATAAATTAACTAATCGCCACAAATTATTTCTCGCATAAATTAAAATCAAACTCGAGACACAATGGTATACCTGCTTCCCTTCCACGGATCACGCGCAGACAAAGGAAAACTACAGGCGGTTTAACGAGCCGATTAATTCGTGTAACCGAATATGAAAGCGCAACCGGTTGTTTAGAGCAGCGAGCATGCACTTGGATAAAAAGAAGATGCGCATCCTGCCACGACGAAATATACCTTCGAACGCAGACATTTACGAAGCTTCCATAGACAGTCCATGGCTAATCCTTGATAAAACCACAATTTCTCATGGAAGACTAATTGGGGCTCGCGTGAAAAAAAAACTACCCCCAGCTTGTGGGATTCGAGGAAGAAATAGGAGGGAAGGAGAAAAACAAAGCGCGCGCCAGTCCCCCCTGGCAGATGTACGAGAAGACGGATTCCCATTAAAAACGGCCGATATCGTTGAAAATAATGGCCTGGTAGGGAGGTATTTTGGCAGGATGGACACACCGGATACCGTTGCAATGGATTCCAGTTACCATGATATCTCTTAAACAAATTTTCCTCCCGCTCTTATCTTGCTGCGCACGGCTCGAAGACCTGGGGGACACCTGACTTTTTCTACCCCCTACGATAGTGGCAAGTACCCATTCTCACTGCTTCCCAGTATTCGTTTTTGCTGTTTCTCGATTCCGGATGACGGATGACTGTGTCAAATCTTGAAACGAGCACTTTCCTTGTTAGGGTACTTATGGAGGGCAGTTGTGTACTTAGGGCACCTAGTTCAAGTTTAGCGATTGGGAAAGAATGACCCGTAACAATCTTTTGTCCAGCCAGTAGACCTAAGTGCATTCTATCTAGACGTGATAAAGTGCCAGCTACCTCGGGTATTCCCCTATTCGTGCCCTGGCACTGCAGCAGCTAGAAAGGAAACTCTGCGTTGTAATTCCTGTAACACCGAAGCAAGTTGGGCCGGTAATGTCGTTACTCGTAATTATCCAGATAATTGCGCTCGCTTCCAATAGCGGGCGCTTTTTACTCGAGGATCGCGGGACGCATCGCATCGGTGCAACGCACGGTTGCATCGCGAGTGCATAACAGCACGTGCTCCGCTCGGCCAAGCAGCTGTCTGGCCTGGGACGAGCATGCGAGCGAGCGAGCGAGCGAGCGAGCGAGCGGTCCAAGTCACGCGAGGAATTCGACTCGGCAACGCGCGAGTGTACGATGCACCGTCGGGATTAGCAGCGTTCACTTTCACCTGCAATTATCCACCTTTACGAGCTTGTCCCCTGGGAAGCATTATCGCGCGAGGCAACCGAGTCAACTCCTCCTCTTCCTTCCTTCTCCGTTCAGAGTACGGGGAAATTTTTCGATTCCACTTTGTTATTCGTTACCCGGTTTCTATCCTCGCGAGATCGAACCGTTTACACGCTCGATTCTTGCTTTATACTTGTGCAACATGAACCGTGGGATGCATCGATGCGTATCTTTTTCTTTGTTGGAAAATGCACTTGCTGCCGAGAGCTTCTTCGAACTGTTTAGAACAAGATACAGAAAGATCGTCAATGTAGGCTTCCTTGTAGGGGTGGAGCATCTTTCTTTGGGAAATATTCATTAATTTATTAATGTAAAATATAGCCAACAACCCTTAGCCGAGAAACTGGAAGAGATCTTTACGTATACAGTGTTTCACCCGTGTTATTCCTGAATATGAACAAATTACTTTCTTCCTCCGGCGTTATGTAATTAGAAGTTGCATCGAACACGAAACATACTTGTCATAGTAAAATTACAAAAGTTAATTACTCTTTACGGTAAAAGGAAACCTACAAGGTGGAGGCGGAAGACTTGTAAAAAAGTTGCAGGGGCAATTGGGCTACCAACTTCATCCTCTTTCCCTTTATTTCGCTACAGTTTCTTTCATAGATTAGCATCCGCTTAAAAGTCCGCGAAACTTCTCTTTTTTCTTCAGAGAAAAAAAGAAAGAAAATGGAAAACGCCAAACGCGACTCATTAACCAAGAAACTATGCTCTTTGAATCAAAGATTAAGAAAGCTTGTTGCTAGTCGACAGACGTACACAAGGGGCTAACGAAGCACCCTCCGAGTTGCAGGCGGTAAAACATAGTGGCAGAATTTAAAATTAATAATAATGGTAATAATAAGAAAGAGTGGTCGTAAAATTGTCTAACAGATCTCCAACAGTTTCTGAAACTTTACTCGCAAACAGCTTATGAATTTTGTCTTCGTGTAATATCAGAGTATCGTGTTTCAGACTGAAATTCCCTCGAAGTAACAAATTGCCATTCCACGAAACAAACATGAAATCTCGCTAATTGGCAATTTCGTTTTTCTCTGACGTAAACCATGCCGAACACCGATGCCTGTGGACATCTAACTGTTTTCATTCTCATGACTATTTTATTCAGTCTTATTTCCATCTTCATCGTTGTTGCCTCTCGTATTTTAATAG